CTTAGGTCTGGAATCTTCTAAGAATGCTTTTGGCCTCAGGAACTTGGGTGTTTGTGCTATAGACTTACCCCAAGAGGCCTGAGGATAGTCTAGTTGTTTTTTTTTTAACATATAGTTTTTTGTGTTCTTTGTTCTTTACATATCTTTTGAGTTCTTTATATTTTAGATACAAACCCTCTGTCAGATGTATAGCTGGTAAAGATTTTTCAGGGAGTCCCGCCGCGGAGCGCTGTGCTATAGACTTACCCCAAGAGGCCTGAGGATAGTCTAGTTGTTTTTTTTTTAACATATAGTTTTTTGTGTTCTTTGTTCTTTACATATCTTTTGAGTTCTTTATATTTTAGATACAAACCCTCTGTCAGATGTATAGCTGGTAAAGATTTTTCGTAGGCTGCTACTTCTCTCAAATGATGGCGTCCTTTGTCATACAGAAGCTTTTTAGCTTCTTGAGGTCCCGTTTGTCAATTGTTGGTCCTAATGCCTGCACTATCAGGGTCCTGTTCAGAAAGTCCTTTCCTGTGTCTATAAGTTCCAGTATATTCTTTATTTCTCCTCTATTGGATTCTGTCCTTTTCCTTTTTTTTTTTGTTGATGTTCCTGGTGATTGAACCCAGGGCCTGGCACATACTAGGCAAAGGCTCTACCACTGAACTACATACACAGCCCTTGGTTTTCTGACACAGGTCTCTTTATGTAGCTCAGTTTGGCCTCAAACTCCTGATTTCTTTCCTCAGCCTTCCAAGTGGTGACTTGGTGGGTATACACCATGTTCAAATCATTTCTGCTTTTATTCACAAAGAAGCACACAGGTAAAACCATTTTATTACTTCTGCATCTTCCCTGAAAAGAGAATAATCCTTATTTCCTTCCTGAGCTTGATGCAGAAGCTCCCCTGCCCTTATCCAAACCCAATTTAACACAGCACGGAAAGTCAGCCATGGCCAGAGACGGTCACCTGTGTTACTTTAGGTCATAGTTTCCCCTGACCACACCATGAAAACCTATCCAACTTCTGGGCATCTGAACTGTAAATTTTGATTCTTCTGTACAAATTGGATAGAATAGTGGCTAGCTGTGTGTGCTAGTTAGCATCATTGGGAAGCCTCAGGTTTTTAGTCTTTGTAATTCCAGGTTGGATGGTGGCCTGTTGGGCCAGATGGCCTTTTGTGATCACTCTGGGATTAAAAAGTTAGCACTGGTATTCAAGATTTTTTAAATTTATTATTTTTATTTTATGTGTAAGAATGTATATAGGCATATAGGCAGGAGCACCCAATGTTGTGTAGTGCCTGCAGAGGACAGAAGAGGGTGATGGATCCCTTGGAGCTGGAGCTAGGGAGGGCAGTTTTTAGCTGCTGTGTGGGTGCTGGGAATAGAACTCGGGTCCTCTGCAAGAGCAGCCAGTGCTCTTAACCATTGAGCCATCTGTTCAGTCTGATTCAAATTTTTGTTGGGGCAGGGGGAGGAAAGGGTTTATTTTATTTCACATCTCCCAGGTCACAGTTCATCACCGAGGGAAACCAAAACAGGAACTCAGGGCAGAAACCTGGAGCAAAAATATGGAGGAATACTGCTTACTGGCACATGGATGACCCTAAATGTCTGATAATAAGTAGAGTAGAGACATTTACTATGCTGGATAGCTTTAGTGTCAACTTGACACACCTGGGTTGAGGGAGCCTCAATTGGGGGATTGCCTCTATTGGACCCGCCTGTGGCCATGTCTGAGGGGCATCTTCTTGATGAGTGATGTGGGAGGGCCCAGCCCACTTTGGGTTGTGCCACCCCTGGGCAGGTGGGCCTGTGTTGCATAAGAAAGCAGGCTCAGCAGGGGCCAGAGAGCAAGCCAGTAAGCAGCATTCCTCCATGGCCTGTGTTCCAGCTCCTGCCTCCAGGTTCCTGCCCTGAGTTCCTACCTTGGGCTCCCTGATGAACTGCGATCTGGGAGATGTAAGCTGAATAAACCCTTTCCTCCACAAGTTGGTATTGCTCAGAGTGTTTTGTCACAGCAATGAAGACACAAACCAGGACATTTACCAATTTGAAAGCACTCTGACAATGACAAGAGAAAACTGTTAGCAAATGCATGTTTCTAACTTTGAACAATGGTCAAATATAAAGTTTGTGCATAGAGGGATACTGAATTCGTAGAAAAAAAGAAACACAAATTCTCTACACAATCACATGGAAGAAAAATGTTCTGTAAAGTTAGTTGCTTATACTGTCAAATTGTTGTGATTTTGTACTAATATTTGCTTACATGTATCCATATGCTTATTGTTAAGTTCATACTTAAAACTACAATTATATATGATATCTGTCATAAATAGCTTTAGTCGTTAACTTGATAAACCTAGGTAGAGGGAATTTCAATTTTTTCAAAAAGATTTATTTATTTTTATTTTTTATGTATGAATGTTTTGCCTGCATGTATGTAAGTTCATCATTTGCATGCAGTGCCTGCAGAGGCCAGAAGAGGGAGTCTGATTCCCTGGTGCTGGAGTTACAGATGGTTGTAAGCCACCATGTATGTGCTGGGAACCAAACCCGGGTCCCAAGGGTACTCTTAACCACTGAACTATATTGCTAGTTCCAGTATTCAAGAATTTTCAATCAGTACCTGCACTGTGACCAGAGATCATCTACTGTACATGAGAAGAAGCTCATGGAAAGGGGCTTGGTGTGGGTAACAACTGCCATCTCACTCTTCAGAAAAATATCGCAGAAGCCTTCCAGTTCACCAAGAAGCCTCCAGAGTCAGTGGTGAAGGCAATTCGAATTTCCATTCCTGATAACAAACCTGTCCACAACTACAGTATCCAGACCCTGAATTCCGCAGAGCTTGCTAAGAAGATGATGTATCAAGAGATGGCCAAGGTGAGGGACAGTCCTTAACCAGATAATGGTGGTTGACTAACACACTGAGCTTTTTTCTCTCTGAGGTCAGCAGGGGCCTTGTGAGCAGATGAAGTCAATCAACTAGGGGAAGTGGACAAGGGATCAGGGCTAGGAGAGGAGTGTGACTCACACTCTAGGGAGAGCCAAGGGTGCTCAGCACAACATACATGGCTGAAAAGAGTGCAGAGGCTGTTCCTCTGGGGAGTGCTCTGTTGTTGCTGTGGAGGCAACTGTTACCCAGAAGGAAAAGCCTCTGTTTAGTCTTTCAGTATCTGTTTCATGTAAAAAAAAAAAGCCTGCTTCTTTTCTCACAGGGCTGGCATACAGTTCAGTTAATTTGAATGCCTTATAGTATCAGGACCCTGTGTCACTATATCCCCAGTTGTGTCTGACACCTGCTTGGAAGCCTGATGGCTACTCAACCTTACCCAACATTGTTCCTAGCAAAGTTTGTTGCCTCACTTCTAGGAACCAGGAAAGAGATTCACATACTCACAGAATTACCTCTCAGCTACGTTGGAGCCTCAGGACTCAGAAGAAGAGAAGAGGAAAGGCCAGAAGAAGTCCTGCCAGGCCTGGCTCCCAGCCAGTGGATTCCATGTATGGGGTCTCCAGAGCAACCTTGAAAGCAACCATCAGCATCTCAGACTGCCACCCATGGGAGAGCTAAATGAGGTCTCCAGGAAGGATCAGGGCCTCATGTGTGTGTGTATGTGTGTGTGGGTTCCTTAGGGATGTCTTTCGTTCTTACTTGTTCCTCTGATTTAGGAATGGAAGGAACGTGAACTGTTTGCTAACGTGCTGAAGCCTGTGTTGGATCGGGAGAGGTGGAGCTGGGGCCAGTGCCACCAGGACTTTGATCTGTATAAGAAACCACCACCTTTCCTTGAGGTGCCCCCTCCTCCAGCTCCAAAGCCTAAAACTGGTAAGACAGTACCTCTCTGAGCTGGACCTCTGGGGGCTGCTGGGAAGCAGAGCTCTGGTCCATTGGGCATATGTAGCACTGTCAGCTGGTTTTGTATTCACATTCATGTTTTCTAGAAAGTCAAGATTCAGAATGGGTCTGCTAGAAGGGACTAGGGCCAGGGCTGGAACTCAGGATAGCTGGGCTCTAGGCCTATTTGTGGTACTGGTTGTATGGTTTTGGACAGATGTCTTCATGCTCTGGGCCTGGTTTCTTTTCTTTTTTTTAAAATGAATATATTTATTAATTATTTTTATTTTATGTGTATGAGCATTTTGCCTGCATGTATATAAGTGTACCACATGGATGCAATGCTTATGGAAGTCAGAAGTGACATCACATCCCCTGGAACTGGAGTTATGGATGGTTGTTAGGCACCATGGGAACCAAATCCCTGTCCTCTGCAAGAGCAGCCAGTGGTCTTAACTGCTGAGCCATATCTCCAGCCCCTGGTTTATTGGGCCTGGTTTATTGTCCTGGTCAGCTTAGGATAGAGACATGTGACCTCATGGGGACCTTTCAACTCCCTTCCAGCTCTAGATGCTGTTGTAATCATTTGGGGGAAGTGTGTGATATCAGAGGCACAGGTCTTTCTTCCTCTTCATATGTCTGTTTATGATGACTGACTCACATTTATTGGGTAGACGAGGCAGAACATTTGTTCAAAGAGGAGCAAAAGTTTATCTAGAAATTAGATTTGCCAGAGAAAAATTCACAGAAGGCTAGATTCGATGAACAAGGCTGATTGTCTCCTCGCTGACTCCCTGTGGACATCGGGTAATGTGGGAACAGCTCCATGAAACAGGAGGAAGTGCAGACAACTTTGTTGACTGCACTTTGTCCACATGTGTGGAGGCTGCTCCTATTCTTCTGAGTGGGGCCTGAGCCTCTGAGACAGGAGAGGAGATTCTGGGTGCTGGACTGTCCCAGGCTTAGCATCTGTGAGACTGTTTTCTCCTTAGTGAAGTGGATGTCTGTTGGCTACTCTGGTATGATGTGTGTGAAGAACCTGGTATGCAGTAGGTGCTAGTGACTGCATCTGCTCCCTTCACCAGGGTGAGGAAGATGGAGGTAAGCAACCGGTGAGGATGCTGGGTTCATGGGCATGTTACTCACCCACCTGTCTTCTCTCAGATAGGAGACCGAAGGCAAACATCCAGTCTTCTGAGCAGCATGGATACGGCCAAGTCACATCAAAGCCACATAGCTCCCATGGCAGCATCTCTGTGCATCCCCAAGACGTACCCTCTCCCACTGATCATCACCTGGGCCTAGGGACCCCAACTCACCAAGCCATCCCTTCCCTTGACTCTCCAACAAGGCTACAAAACCCAAATCCCCCCTTCCCCAGCTGTTGGCTTCATTAAAGTGTGGCACGGTAAAGGGGCTTGGGTTAGTAGTCACGACCCTGTCCCAAACTCACTCTGGTCCTAAGAACAAGCTTCTCAGTGTCTCTGGGCCTGTTTCTTGTGTGGGGCCATGTGGGTTTCACCTGGTAATCATGGTTCTAGAGCCTAATATGAATGGAGTGTCGGATGTGATAACATGGCCTTTATCCCATACATAGGGATGAGGATGTTGGCTACATGCTTAAATATCAGCTGTTCCTCCACAGTGGGCAGGGGTAAAGGTTCAGAGTGGATGCCTGCTACCTCCTACTGCCCTTCCAGAGCCATATCTTTGCTGTCTTAGTCAGCCATTGTTCTTTAGCAACTTGTGGCCAATGGAGCCATTCCAGGGTGTTGTGGGTGACTTGCCTCTTCTGCCCCATGTTTTTCTTTCTCTGTATGGCAGTTGTTAAGGCGAGATCAAGACCCAGAAATTTGTATGATATCCAAGGCCAGTACTCACTGGCCTCAATGTTACCTTTAGCAATGAGAGCCTCACAAAGAAGCCTCTTGCATTCATCCCTAGGTGGCTGGCTTCTCTTTATTCCAGGGAGCTTTTCTCTACCTGGAAGGTGCCCCTTACCCAGTACGGGTACCCCAGTACCATGTAGGACTGCTCCAATCCCATGGTGATCAAGATTTCTGTTCTAGGCCTGGCCTCAAAGGTGGCTACTAGGTACAAAATAATCCTGTGGATACTGGCTCTGTGTGTGTGTGTGTGTGTGTGTGTGTGTGTGTGTGTGTGTGTACGCATGCACGCACTGCTATGACCCAAGCCAGCAGGGTCGTCTTACCTTCCCAACAAGTAATAGCACCTTGGCCAAATTAATGCACATTCTCCTTCAGCTTGCTGGCACTGTCCTGCCAGGGCAGAAAACAGAGTCTGCCCCACATCTCTTCCTACCATGACCCACCTCTACTTGACCCATCTGACATAGCCAGGGGATCCAGGTAGAACAGAGGTGGAGTTGGGCATCTGAGTTCTCTCCCAACTTCCCTGGAGGAGCCTAGATGTTAGTTGTGTCCTTCTGGAGTGGGAACACCAGAAAGGCATTCAAATGTAGTAGTGGTGTGCTGAGCCTACTCCAAGATTGGGGAGTACAAACACCAGAATTGCCTGTCACCCCCAGGTCTATGGCTCAGCCTATCAAGTTCCAAAACCTCCAGCCAATGGTTTCTGTGGTCACATTGCTTACTTTTGCCTCACTGCAGGAAGCCTGCAGTCCTATGGTTCAAGGTCTGGCAGCTGGCTCCCACTGCCTAGTGGCATGGCACCCTGAAGCTCTGTTCTCTCCTATGGGTGGGCATATGGCTTCTTATAGAATGTTTCTCTAAGCCTATCAGGGAAGAAACAGCTGTATGGCCAGCTTCCCAGCAGTTAGGGGGTCTGAAATATCCTATTAACACCCTGTATTAGGTTCCAGCAGGGATGTGATTGCTCTACCCTGGAATGAGGGCAGAGGAGAAGAATAGACAAAGAAGGGCAGAAAAGAGAAACTGGTCTCATGCTGGCCTGTGGGTTGGAGACTATGTGAAGGACATCTCTATTTACCCCAGTTTCTGAAATACCAGTCACCGCCATGTGGAAGATGGGACCCACTAGGGCATTGAGAAAATGGGGATCTAGAGAGTGGTACGATTCTTAGGGTAGGGAATTGAGGGCTACCTGGGTAGCTGGTTCTCCTGCCACTCAAAGGTGAGGGGCAAGCTGGAGTCCTAGTTCTCCATGCCCTGCAGTCACCAACCAAATGTTGCTTACTTGCATCAGCCTTGGAGGGAGCTTGTGTGTGAAGGTGTACTCTCCACTCACTGCCCCATTCTTCCCTGGGATCAGGTAGCCCTTAACTCTGACCTTTGGGCAGGTGGGATCTGAAGGGAAGAATGGAGAACACTGTGTCGGGATGAAGCCAGTGTGCTGAAAGTCTGTCATGGCAGTGTTCTCTGTGTCCATCATTGTGAAAGTCAACAGCAGGCTCAGCAGTGCTGCCTGTGATTTGGCAGGCCTGGCCACCACCCACTGCCCACATGGCAGAGGCTCTAGCAGACTGAGGAGCTAGGCATGGGGAGCAGGCTGTGCTCAGGTATCAGGGATGGATGGTGGTGCTGACTCAAAGGCATGGTGTCCCATTGGGACCCCAACCCATGATGGCCAACACTGTATGGGCTACTCCTTTCTCTAAGTCCTAAATTCCTCATTAAAACTGACACTAGGGCAGATGGCTAAGTGGGTAAAGTTCTTGCTGTGTAAGCATGGGAACCTGAATTGGCACCCCCAGCTCCCATGTGGAAAGCTGGGTGTGGTGGCACATACCTGTTACCCCCATGCTGGGGTGGGCAGGAGGACCCCTGGAGCCTGAGGACCAGCTAGTCTTGCCAAAATGGTGAGCTCCAGGTATAGTGAGAGACCCTATCTCAAAAATTAAGGTAGAGAAGCAATTGAGGAAGACACCCAGAATTTAACCATTGGCCTCCACATGGATGAGCATACCCACACATACACAAACACACACAATTCATGAAAATTCAGCCCAAACCCAACAATACAACTGACACCAGATTTTCCTGGGTGGTGAGGGGCATGATGCCCAGGGCATAGCAAGTGTAGGACAGATCTGTGTTGAGAACAGAATTCCCAGAGATGCTGCAAACACTGAGAAGCACTTGGTAGCCTCAGGGGCCTATGATTGCTCCAAGGAATGTCTCAGTGCTCACATCCCCCCACCCCAGGCAGGTGTTTGTTTCTAAGGCCCAAAAGGCTTGTGCCTTCCATTCACAGTAATGGTGCTGTGAGCCAGAATGCCCTGACCCAGTCTTCATAGCTGACACTTCCCTGAAGTTGGGCAGGCACCATGGATAGAGGAGTTCCCACAGGAGGGCAAGTGGCTGTGGAGACTGAATTGCCCAGAAATACTGCTTTACTCCCTGTTTTCCTAGTGCTAACTACTATACGTAGTCTGAGCCTCTCACCAAACTGCCTGAGATTGTTGGGGTTAGGGTTAGGGTTAGGGTTAGGATTAGGATAAATGTTATGGTTAGGTTAGGGCTGGGTGGTTCATTAAAATATAAAGTATATAATATATTAAAATACAGTATAAAATATGAAATATTTTGTTAAGAATGATTTTCTAAATTCAAAAATTTTGTAAAGAAGTTGAGCATGGTGGCACATGCCTTTAATCCCAGCATTCGGGAGGCAGAGGCAGATGGATCTCTTTGAGATGGAGGCCAGCCTGGTCTACATAGTGAGTTCCAGGCCAGCTGGAGCTACAGGGAGACCCCATCTCAAAAAGATAAAAAAATTTTTATTGTAAAGAAAAAAGAAAGCTGGGACTAGGTGGAGCTACAAGGAGATCTTGTCTCAAAAATATATTTAAAAAAATAAAAAGAAAGAAAAGAAAAGAAGTAAAGCAAGCATCAAGTATAAAAAGATATAAAAAGGTATATGACACATACTCTTGGTAAAGGAAGTTAAAGGACAAATAAAATGATGTTGGATGAGAAAGCAGACAATTTCTTAATTTCTTTTTGCATGTATATGTATGTGTAGTGTATGTACACACATGTATGTGCATGTTCACATGTGTGTCCAGGCACATGTGTGTATGATTGCACGTGTGTGCATGTATTTATGTAGGCCAGAAGTTGATGTTGGATGTCTACCTTAATTGCTTTCAACACACACCTTTAAATCTCAGCACTTAGGAGGCAGAGGCAGGTGGATCTCTGTGAGACTGAGATCAGCCTGGTCTACATAGCTCCAGGCCAGCTGGGGCTACAGGAAGACCCTGTCTCAAAAAGATAAAAAAAAAACAAACAAAAATTTGTGAATGTAAAAATTTATGAAAAACAGTACATGTATAAATTGGTGTTAAAGGTTTTAAAATTCACTTAGATCAAAGTCCAATGCAATGATGTAGAACTGGAGCCTCATTCTCAGTTTACAATAACGGTTTTCTTTTTTTCAAAAAGATTTATTTGTATTTCTAGTTATGAATATATGTATGTCTCTGTATGTGGGTATGTGCACATGTAAGTGCAGATGCCTGTGGACTCAAAGAGGGTGTTGGATTCCCTGGAGCTGGAGTTACAGGTAGAGTTAGGATTAGGGTTAGAGTTAGTGTTTTAGGCTTAAGGTTGGGGTTTCTGGGTTGGGGTTAAGGTTATGATTATAGTTTTAGGATTAGGATAAGAGTTAGGTTTAGAGTAGTTAGAGTTAGGGTTAGGATTAGGGATTTGGGTCAGTGTTAGAGTGGTTAAAGTTAGGCTAGGGGTTAGGGTTAGGGTAAATGTTAGAGGTTAGGATTAGGGTTAGGGTCTAGGATTGGGTTAGTATTAGGGTTAGGATTATATTTATGACTATGGTTAGGGTAGGGGTTAGGTTTAGGTTTAGTGTTAGTGTTAGCATTAGGGTTAGGTTTAGGTTTAGGGTCAGTGTTCTTTTTTTTTTTGGTTAGGAATAGTGCTAGTGTTCAGTTTAGGATTATATTTAGGTTTAGGATTGGAGTTAGGTCTAGGTTTAAGGTTAGGTTTAAGTGTAGGGTTTGGTTTGAGTATAGGGTTATATTATGGTTATTGTTATGGTTACTACTAGGGCTAGTGTTAGGGCTAGGATTAGTGTTAGTGTTAGGATTCATGCTAGGGTAAGGGCCAATATTAAGGTTAGGGTTAGGGTTAGGATTAGTGTTAGTGATAGGGCTAGGGTTAGGGCTAGTTTTATGGTTAGAGTTAGGTCTAGGGCTAGGATTAGGGTTAGTGTTAGGACTAGAGCAAGGGTTAGGGCTAAGGATACTGTTTGGATTAGTTTTGTGGTTAAGGATAGGTCTAGGGTTCAGTTTCAGGTTCTTGATAAGTTTAGTATTAGGTTTAAGGTAAGCTAGTATTAATGTTATGGTTAATGTTAGGGTTAGTGGTAGGTTTATGGTTAGGTTTTTGCCTAGGTTTAGGGTTAGGGCTAGGTTTTGGGTTTGGGTTAGTGTTAGGGTTAGGGTTAAAGCTAGTGTTAGGGTTAGGATTTAGGCTTATAGTAGGGTTAGGATTAGTGTTAGGCT